GCTGCTTTGTGTTTGTTCGTTTGAATTTCCAAGAGGAGACATAACATAATGTAATTCTTTATAGACTGTGACATTGTATTATTTGTGTTGCACAAGCCACGTATTCAAAAAATTATGAATACCAACTAGAATTTTCCCATACTGATACATTATATGCATTGACAGTTGCTGTTCAATATGCATGGACAGAAGGAATGAGGGAATGAAGATTTATTATGGTATGTTCTTTGGAGTTTGCTAAACATATCATTGGTCAAGTAGGCTGAAAATATTGGGATTTGTAGTTCTATAATCTTAGAGGGGTTAAAGTTTTCCGAACTGTAATGCAGACTTTTTGCCAAATACTGATATCCGTGACAAAAACAAATAGCCATATAGCAAGCTGATACATTTCTCCCCTTTGGGGAAGGATAGAAACAGAAATTATAATACTCCCAAACTTTAAATAGTCCCTTCCTTTGATAACAATATCAAAAGAGATATATTGGCAAACTGAAAAATCCAGAGTCTTATACATTATCATCTTCCTTGTATTTTCAAGAGATTCAAATCTTGTTTTGTCCATAAGTCAACACCTAAAATCTCAGGGAGAGGGGGGAAAGAGAAAAAAAAAGGCATCGATTGTCATGACATATTTTGATGCTGGTATTTGGATCTCCTCAATTCTGTACCAAAGTATATGTTGTTATGGCAACCAACACTGCTGAATACTTTTATCAATATATGCATGCGTACATGTAAGTACATGTGTTGCATGCATATACTGTATGTGTATAAGATGATCAATTATGCATCATTTGTAAGTTTGGAGAGAATGCTTACCTCTGTAAAAAGATAAAAAATCCAGTTTGGAATACCTTCACCTAATGGAATTTTTGATGAGCCAGACGTAGGGCACAAAGGATGGCTTTCAGAGTTATAGACCTAGATTAGACTGTTCAGAAAGCAGTTTCTAATGGTAGAGAGTAGAAGACAGCACTTAAAAAAAAACAAAGCACTTAGAAAGAAAGAGAAAACCTCTAATGGTCTTCTTTGCAAACAAGCTGTTCAGACTGAAACAGCACAACAATTCTAGAGTCATGAACAGATAAGGAACTGATTCCAGGGATCATTATATTCCCAGGCCTGGGAGACTTCATATTTCACATTAAATTTCTTACTCCTTGTAAGAATACGCAGATGTTTTGGAGTTGCACAGAGCACATTGCTTGAGAGATGGAACTCCTGATTTTAGTCCAGTCTACAGTAGCTAGAAAGAAGAAACTCATGGCTGCCTTATAATGCAAAGCAAAGGCAGAATAATTGATAGGATTTAGAAGTTCTTATCATCAGCTACCAGTATTGCCAGCCTAAATTGCTTTTGGAATCCTGTTGGGGAAATATTCCACCCTGGTTAATTTTTCCATAGCACAAGGACAATTTAAAGATATTGAAGATCAGTAACTGGGCCTTCTGATTGTTTACACTGTTTTTAAAATAATTTATCTAATATATTTTTGTAGCATAACACATAACTCAAAAGGAGAGAGGGCAGAGTTACATCTGGGAAACAGGATGAAAAAGAATTAAATTGCTTTTCCCTATAATGCGAGTCCCAACTCACCACACATATACTCCCTTAACAGCTTTTAAATAAAATTAAAGAAGTGGAAGATCTGATCAAGTACTTTCAACATCTCGTCTATTCCTAATATTTTCAATTCCTGTGGTGACAAGTTGGTGTCATCAGAAGAATAAGCACAGATAGGAAAGATATGAAATTAAATTCCAGCTCAAAGTCATTGGCAACTTGGTCAAATAACAGCCAATTTCTAATCTATTTCTCTTGCATGTGTTTTCCAAGAAAGGGCAAGACAAAACATTAACAAATAAGACAATTACTACTATGTCTTCTATCCACACACTCATTTTTAGGTTCTCCAAAAATACTCCTTTAAGCTTGACTTTTTGCATATGTTTAGGAATCAGTTCTTCTTTGTATATGACATTCTCCTCTTGGGTAAGAAAATGCTTGGGTTTAGAATCATATAGAATATAGAATATAGAATATATATAATATATTCATATAGAATCCATGCAACAAATCAGTAATTGAAGTATTAAAAAACACTACCAACAACCAATATATAACCATGGTAGAGGTTCTACTGCATTGTCAAATCTCCAGAGGTAAAACCACATCTTTCAGGCCTTATGAAAAGCTGGCAGTTTTGGGCAATCTAATCTTTGGAAGGATGAATTTTCCAGTGGACATTCCCTAACAGAAAGCACTCAGAGCACGTGTCTTCCATCAGACCTAATAAGAGGTTTAATTGGGAGAGTAGTTCCTGAAAAAATGTGCTACCATGACATGAAGGGTTTTATAGATCATCAGCACCTTGAATTAAAACCAGAAGCATATTGGTAATCAGTGAAGCTCACAGAGCAGGGGTATAATGTGTACTGACTGAAAAATTCACAGAACAGTCCACATAGCTGTCTTCTGCACCACAAGGATAAAATCATCTCTGTACACTGCTGTTATTCTTGTGCTGCTAATATTAAAACCTGATTGCTCCTCCGGCAGAGCAGAGAGATATCTTAAAGAAAGCACCTGTCCACCATCACTTTCAAATGCTAACTACTACCTTTACTGAAGAAAGAGTCAATATATGCCTAATATATATGAAACTATTTTGGATTTCTGCTTTGAGGTCTAAATTCTATTGATGATAATGTGTAAAATGACAGTGTTGCATTTAAAATGGGAAGAACCGGATTCAAATTCTTGTTCCTCTTAAACAATGTCGGATAATTGTAAATCATTCAAAGAAAAAAAATAGAATAAATAATAGCACAGAGTAAACCATATCTATTTTTGCTTACAGGTGGTACTCAACTTATAACCATTCATTTAGCAACCATTTGAAGTTAGAACAGCACTGTAAAAAGTGACTTATGACCAATAATTGTGATTATGACAATTGTAGTATCCCCACATGTGATCAAAATTTTAGCACTTGGCAATCAGGATGTATTTGTATTGGTTGCATCATACTGGGGTCGTGTGATCATCATTTGCTACCTTTCCAACCGGCTTTTGTCAAGAAAAATCAGTGGGAAAACTGGACTTATTTAATAACTTCATGATTTACTTAACTGCAGTGATTCATTTAATAACCATGGCAAAAAAATCAGGAGTAACTCACTGAACAACTGTCACTTAGCAACAGAAATTCTGATCCCAATTGTGGTCATAAGTTGAACATTTCCTATATATAAGATGTTATCAAACTCCCACCATGGTAATAATTAGGAATAAGAAAATTTTCTCAAGTTTGTTTGTTTTTATATTCTATATTTTCTTACCATCAAGGTTATTCTAGTCTATTTTCAGATCGGCTGATGATAAAAAAATAGCAATAAAAATTATTTAATGAAATGCTGTGTTGTCCTTTTTCAGAAACGCATGCACATTTATGTAACCTTTTCCATGAATGTTTTATTCAGAGAACTGCAGTGAAATAACTAACTGCATTTCAATTTGGCTATCAATTTTCTAATAGGAGAAAGGATCTAACATTTAAATCAGGATTGTATCAGTTCCCCACTATTTATTTATACCTTCCAAACATGTGGAATATATTTAGGACCCAATTGTGATAAATTCAAATGGGCTCTAGGTTTGGTTGTGAGAGGAGTATGTTGTTGAATATGAAATGCTGGAGATACACAAGGAGCATTTGTCTCTGATATGTTTTGTTTCAGAATTTTCCAGATATGTGTGATAGTCATAGCTGGGAACAGGACAAACTGACTTTACATGTCCTTGCTGTAATTTTAATAGCATAAAAATGGGAGGCACTCTGAGCTGGTAATAGTATCAGTCTGATCTTGTCTAATTTGGAGATTATGTAGGGTATGGCCTGATTAACACTTAGGTGATAAGATTATCAGGGAATATCATGGCTATAGGTGAACTGGAAATATTTTGAAAGAAGATACTGGTGAATCATGTCTGTACCATTTGCAAAAAAAAAACCTTTATTGAGAACAGGTTTAGTATAGTGGTTAAGAGAATGGCCTGGTAGACTATGCATATTAGTCTTACTTACTGTAGGCATGAAAACTGGCTGAGTGACTTTGGGCCAGTCATTCTCTCTCAGCTCAGCACAACTCATAGGGTTCTTGTTATGGAGAAAATAGGAGAAGGAGGTAGTATTTATGTATGTTCATCACCTTGAGTTATTTATTAAGGAATACAGATGGGATAAAGAAATCCTACATGGATTAAATAAATCACAAGAGGCAAATTTGACTTAAAAGAAATTCCAACATTTGCTGGAATCTGGGAAGTATAGGAACTGCAATTCCATTATACTGGACTATGTTGATACAACTTCTTATTTTTAATTCTGAAGATCAGCAAGTATGAATGAAGAATACGGCAACAGATAAACAGAACAAATATTTTTTTCTCTCACCTGTTTCTCCCCATATTGGCAAGTACTCATCTTGCTGAATGTCCAGCATTATCTCCAATCCATTGCCTGTCCCACCCTTGAATGTGGTCAACAGTGGATGCCCCTCTTCTCCTGAGTTAAACATGTAGCATTTCCCATATTTCGTAAACACCTAGGAAAAAAAGGGAGAAAAAGGACACTCAAAAATCTTACCTCATAAGCATTCTTAGGGTCTGTGAACTTGACTTCAGAAAGTCTAAGTAATATAATACTTTATTTAACACTATTTAATGGAATTTTAAGGACATAACTCTGGGTGGCTTCAACTTAAAAAAGCACAAACAATTTAAAAAGAGAGAGAGAGAAACTGATAGTATACACCCAGAAGGCAAATTTTCTGTAACAAGCAAAACAGAGACTCAACTACCACCTTGCCTGGGAGATCAGCCAAGTTTTCAGTGACTTTCTGAATAACACCAGGGAGGGAATCATACAGATTCCTGTGGGGATCCTACTCTCTCATTGAATCATCTTTCAAAGCCTAATTAACTGATTTGAAACTTTTATATAAAATATTCTCTGCAGTTCAAGCATATGGATATACATTAACTATGAACACTAAGAGTGATATTATTTGATTGCTTATTTTTAAATTATAGCTTGCTTAAACCAGCTCCTAATTTTAAAAAAGCCAAATTAATACATGGATAAATGATATATTTTAAAACTGTAAGTAGTGTAATTAATGCTATTACATATGTGATCATTAAGCAGTAGATAAAATGTAGATAACGGAACAGTATAGAATGTTGTATCAGTAGCAATGTAGTAGATAAAACAGCAAATAAATAAATTGTGAAATATTTTTACATTCATCTCACAATCCCAAACTAACAATCTAAAGTTCCTAAAAGAGACAGCTTCACAAACATCTTGTTCTGCATCAGCATAGAGAATGCTATTTCTTGTAGATATCAGCATCTTGGAAGAAAAATAAGAATATACAATACTCAATTGCATTATATACCTATGCACTAGGAAGTCTTTCAGCAAATTTATGCATTATAACTTCCACATCTTTATAGTTTACAAAAAAATTAAAGACAGCCAAAAGATATGGAATATTGTAATATTAAAAATGTTACTATAAACATACGTAACTTAAGTTCAATATTCAAGAAAAAAGCTACTAGTAACAAATAATAAAATGCAAAAAATAGTAAAACTACTTTATATCCTGGATTGAAAGTTCTTATGTCAACCTGCCTACTGTCATATGACTGCATTTTGGGCACTCAACAACCAACCCACATTTATGACTATTTGCACCATCCATGTCATACTGACTGCAATTTACATTTTTTCCGGAATCAGCATTTATTTTCAAATAAAGTGTCACTGCAAAAAAAGTTCATAAAATCAGGTCTGGTTATGTGTTTTCACCCTTTATGACTGTCACAGCTTGTGACCAAAATTGTGGCTCAATTAGGATCCTAAATTGAGAACTACCTGTTCTCGTAAAGGTAAATTCATAAGATTACTCTGTGTTACCTCTTTATGCCTCATCACTCAGCTCTCCCATTCAAAAGCTTTCAGCTAGACTAGTTTTAATCAGCTGTCTCTTGTAAAGCACATCCTACTTGTGAATACCTTTAAGTTCACTTTGAGTTATGATATGGTCAGTGTTGCATTCTATTATAGCATACATGGATTAAGTGAAAAATAAGTGATCTCTTACACCAGGGGTGGGCAATTAATTTCTGTCGGGGGCCACGTGGAAAATCAGATCTGTGTTCGAGGGCTGAACCAATTTTACTAAAGGCCATTATAAAGGGCCCATTATAAAATGCAGCAAATTATATATAAGAATATTATTT